TCGAATATACGTAACCCGCGAAAATTCAAAATTCGCTATACTTTTTGAACACACCTCGTATGTGTATGCAGGTTGAATAATGCAATTGTAGAGGGTTTTAAATATATGTAATAGTACATTTATGCATTTAATGAGTTCTAACTAAATATTTGAGTTAGGTTATGCACCCGTCAAAATTTCGATAAGCTTCCGAGTTTGAATATTAACTTTTACAGCTAATTGCAGTACAAATCGGTTCAAGATAGAGCTTATAATTAAATTCAGCCCGCCTACGTACCATAMGTGAGTATAGCCTTCACTTGTCGCCATCATAAAATTAATTTATTTCTTTTAAATTTTGATTTTTCCGCGATAACACAAGTAAAAAGTGAATCGGCTGTCGCTTCGTTCGCTGTTGTTRATTTGCCTTTTCTATTGGCAAGCGAAGTGCTTAACTTTTTCTATCACTGTTATAACAACTCTTGTTGTAATTGTTAATTGTTACTATTGCTTACTGTTGCCGTCATATGGTTGTAAATGTAGTTTTTGCTGCCAGATACTACAGCTTTCACTTGTTTTCGTTTGYTTGCATTTTCAATCTTGTCATGGCTCCGCTACAGTTGAAGCATATCGCRGAGCCACATGCCATTACGAGTAACCAACAATTATTATTATTAGTTTCAAATTCAGTTTTATCTGTTTGGGCTGTTACTCACTACTCATGCCTGATAAACGTAATTYATGTGCTTATGTATATTAGGGTGTACGTTATTTGCCAAGTAGATTTCTTTGATATTTCAGTTCATGTCCTAAAAAGCTCCAACGTAAACAAGCCCTTTTTATATCTTGAACAGGGTATATTAAGTTTGTCACGAAGTTTGTAACACCCAGAAGGAAGCGTCGGAGACCCTTTAAAGTATATATATGTATAAATGATCCGTATGTCGAGCTGAGTCGATTTAGCCATGTCCGTCTGTCTGTCTGTATATATACGTCAGTTTTCAAGATATCGCTTTGAAATTTTGCAAACGTCATTTTCTCTCATTTGTCGGAACGGCCGATATCGGACCACTATAACATATAGCTGCCATACAAACTGAACGATCGGAATCAATTGCTT